CCTGCGACCTGTCTGTCTTCAGTCCTGCCGGCACAGGGGTTTAACCCACTGCGCCACTGGGGGCTCCTATCAATTCAGATTAAATCCATAAAAATAAACCACACATACATTGGCCAATAATATTAATAGGGATATTAGATCAGCCCTCTCCCTCCTGACCTTCAGAAAAAGAGTAAAAACTTGGCTTTTTGAACAAGCATTTGGAAATGCAGCAGAATGGGTAAATATGAAATAGGAAGAATGAACATGGAATGGCTAGACGATACTGCTGGATAATGATTCTGACAAGATGACACCAGTGATTATATGTTTTCAATGGTTTATATATGGTTTTTATAATGTTGGGTTGAATGAATTTAACTTTATTTTATGAATGTATGGCATCAAATTTGCCAATTCTGTGAGCTGCCTTGAGTCACCGTAAGACTGAGAAAGTGAGAAAGACAGGCGACAAATGCCATATATATATATATATATATATATATATATATATGACTTCAGTGTGCTTGAAAATAGTGTTCTTAGAATTTCTTTTCAATTCTATAAAAAGCTGGAGAGATCCCCAAATTTTGTTCTCTTGATATAAGCATGTTCTGTTCTGTATTCCAGACATAATTAAGAATGGCATTCTGTTTGTATATTCAGTGTAGTCTAGTGTTTACGAACTCGCGGCTATCAGTATTCCAATTAAAAAAGAAGCATATATACATAAAAACAGATGCACACACACATGATTAAACTACCTATTTATTTTTTGGGCTGTATGTGAAAAATGGTGCACACTTATCTAATTGGGCAATTAGTATTAAACGCTGTTGGAATAAGACTTATTTTTCTTAAGATAACATATGTAAAGAATATAGATTATTCTCTTCACAATGATGGGGTGGGGGTGAGGGCAAGAGCTCATGCTAACAATGTATTCCAGAAATAATCCTGTAATTTTCTTTGACTTTTCCAGAGTGTTGATTGTGTATTACTGTTGCCACTTTAGCCAATATTTGGTAGAATCACTTTTGGGTAATGACTACAGCCATGAACCATGAGTCTATCAGCTTATATCAATTAAATTAATTTTTCCCTACATGGGATTCAAGGTGGTGCATACTTCTGCAATCTACATTCTGAAACTGCATTGTATCACAGTGTAGATGGAGCATGTAATTCCCATGGCTCAAATCAATGGAATCATGAGAGTTGTTGCTTGGCACCAGCACTATTTGGCAGAGGGGGTTAAAGACCTAGGTTGGATCTACATTGCCCTATATCCCAGGATCTGGTCCCAAATTATCTGCTTTGAACTGGATTATATGAATCTACACTGCCAGATAATCAGAGATAAGCAGTGCAGATTCAGTTTTAGCAAAACTACATTTTAAGTAGTCAAAATTAAGCCAAAGCAGTTTAAATATTGTCAGACTGCATTAACTCTACAGTGGAGATACACCTGCCCGAGGGCTCATTTTTTACTTGTGCTTGTTGACTTTCTCCCTACACTCATCTCCTTCCAGAGCAGCATAGATGGTGTTGTTGCAAAAAGTCCCTGTTGAGTGAATAGAGAGGCAGCTAGCCCAGGGGACACACAGGAGATGCAGCAAGGAAAGACAGTAGGAACAGATAGACATCCGGTGGAGTAATGCAGCCTATCCTCAACTTGGCACCTTCCAGAACAGTTGGGCGACATCTCCCATCATCCCCAATTACATGACCATTGGTCACTGGCCATGTGACTTGGGGATCATGGGGGCATTTTCCCAAGACTTTTGGAAAGTGGCAAGTTAGAGAGTGCTGTTTTCTTCAAATGTGAGCAGCACATGCTCACATTAGTGCAGTATGATATAGGACTGTATCACCTTGGAATATAATCTGTTTGTATCAGTATGGATAGCCCATGAGGTCTCTTCCAACTCTATGTTTCTATGCATCCCCCTTTTAAGGACTGGATGCATACTGCCTACTCTCTTCATCACACCTGATTATTACAATTTTTATGATTTGAAAATACTGTGCTTTGACTCCTCACATCACAGAAGACTGGCTCCTCCCAATCCATTCACTCTATGACCTTTTAAAAAGGATTGTTGCTGATGGGATACATACAGATTTTCCTATCACACACAGAAACAGTGCTTCAGCAATGGAAGAATCCATAGTATTAAAAAAAAAACACAATTAGAATTCTGTCTCCAAATACTCTGTTTCTGCAATGCTTTGCAGATGGATTCCGATGGAATACCGACAAGATGGGGTAAACATCATGTGACGGGACTTGTTTGAAATCATTCTCAAAGAGTCTTAGAATCAGTATTTCCTAATATGATAAGGTCCCTCTTGGAGCAAGCAACATTCAGAGGAGTATTTGTTGGGCAGTGCTACAATTTCACTGGGTATATCTATGAACCATGCAACATTTATAACTCTTCTTCAGGCTGGATTTATACTTCCCTATATCCCAGGATCTGATCCCAGAGTATCTGCTTATGCCAGATTATCTGAAAGTGTAGACTCATATAATCCAGTTCAAAGGAGATAATTTGGGATGAGATCCTCTGATACAAGGCAGTGTAAATCCTGCCTCAGTTAGTCTGCTGCTGTGCAGGTACAGCTGTACCAGGAGCTCCAATTTTGTTTGCTTTGCATTGCATGTTTGTTGTAGTCCTAAGTTTCAGGGACTCTGCAGATAGGTGGCTTCTTTTGGCTGCAATCATAGGGCAAGCCACCTGTCAATTATCGTTAGGTTCCCTGGTCCCACCCCTTTTTGGGTTTTGTAGGGAATAGGAGCCATTTTGGGCCAGTCCACACAGAGAAGCCTTTCATGCAGGACATAAAACCAGGAGCTCCTGTAGAAAGCTTCATCTTCTATGGCTTGGCCGGGAGATATACAGCCTTTCAGCTCCCTTGCTGAGGGAATCCGGTCTCACAGCACTTCAGCCAGCCATCACTGAAACCTGAACTCCTTCTTTTTCCTTGGAGGTCTACAAAGCTCTGCTTGGTAAGGGTCACTCGCGGAAGCCAGAAGCAGTTGGTACCGGGTGTAGGGGCTCCACGCCAACAGAGGCAAAGACAGACTGCCCAGATTAGAAGTTAAGGATTTCCCCATTAGTTACAGTTATGAAGATAGTGCCTGTTCCCTGTGGACAAGATTGAGAGAGAGCCAATAGACTGTTAAGAAAGCCTTAAAGTACCTGTTTGTTTTCATTAATAAAGAACTTTGTTGAACCTTTAAGCAATCTAAAGACTCTGTTTTAAGGAAATCCAAGGGCCTTTAATCTGAGGCAGCCCCGGCGTCCCGTTGGGCACACAGAATTTATGTCCTGTCTACAGTCTTATGCACAGGCCCAGCGTGCGACAGCACAGCTGCCCTTGTCACATTAGATAATGCTTTCTCTTTATCAGTAATGAAATCCATTGAAGATGTGATTCCATTCAGCTTCTGTATATGGAAGAATGCAGCCTTGCTCTTTGGCTCAGGTTCCAGTCTTTGGCTGGCTTTCTATGCATATGTTTTAGATTTAACAACATATTGATTATACATGATAGCAAGCCTAAATAACCAAACAAACAGTGCTGCCATTTAACATTTTAGCAATGTTAATCTTTCTTTCTTTCTTGACATGTCTTAATTTGTACTGCAATCTGAAATATATAATACTCAACTATGGTTTAGAAAGGAATTCATGAATGGGAGGTGGGGGGTGTATTTATTTATTTATACGAGCGACTCAATCCCACAGCTTGCACAATCCCACAGCTTGCTCACCATGGGTAAGGATGACGTGAAAATAACCATTTTGGTACTGGGAGGTCATGTATAAGTCTAGAAAAGAAATGTTAATCAAAAAATGACCCAGAAAGGTGGATCGACTTTCCACAGGTCAACATAAGCATTTACCTTAACTCTTATAAAGAAAGGAAACATGTTCTTCTCTGAATACACTGAAAAGCAAGAGAATCACTGACCCACTGCTATTGTATGTGTGTGTATATATATATTTACACACACACACACACACACACACATACATGCATATCTAGAGCAACTGGCAATTTGAGGTAATGCTGATTCTTTTCCCTCTCCACAACTTATCTACAAGTCATATCAAAATCCATCACCCTAACCCCAAACACAGCCCTCAATTTATATATAAGGTTGACCTATACATGAGTACATAATTATGTTACATGAGTACGTTACATACATGAGTAGGTTACATCTGGAATAGACTACTGCAATGCACTCTACGTGGGGTTGCCTTTGAAGACTGCTCGGAAGCTTCAAATAGTCCAACGAGAGGCAGCCAGGTTAATAACTGGGGTGGCATACAGGGAGCATACAACTCCCATGTTACGCCAGCTCCACTGGCTACCAGTTTGCTACTGGGCACAATTCAAAGTGCTGGCTTTGGCCTATAAAGCCCTAAATGGCCCCGGCCCAAATTACCTGTCCAAATGTATCTCCCTCTATCTACCATCGCAGAGATTAAGAACCTCCGGGGAGGCCCTGCTTTCCGTCCCGCCATTGTCACAGGCGCGATTGGTGGGGACGAGAGACAGGGGCTTCTTGGTGATTGCTCCCTGGCTATGGAACTCCCTTCCTTGTGAGATCAGGTCGGCCCCCTCCCTCCTGTCCTTTAGAAGGATGGTAAAACCTTAGCTGTGGGACCAAGCTTTCAGGACAGGGCAATGAAGCGACAATGGGAAAGATGACAGGGCCAATTGTATTTGATGCGGATGGCTAGGACGGTTTTAAATTGTGTTATTTTAAATGGTGTATTTTAATATTTAGATAAATGTATTTTAATGTTTATGTATTGTACCCAGGCATTGAATGTTTGCCATGTATATGTTGTGCTCTGCTCTGAGTCCCCTTCGGGGTGAGAAGGGTGGAATATAAGTGTTTTAAATAAATAATTAATAAATAAATAATTGTAAATTATTAATACATGAGACAATATAGTTACATACTGTTACATTTTTTTGTATTTTGGATGTCTTTTTAGGAGCGAAGTTTATTGGAATCTTCCCAATTCCGGATACATACAACCCAGATGATGACAAAATCTATTTCTTTTTCCGAGAAGTTTCACAGGATAGCAGCACCTCTGACAAAACCATTCTTTCCCGGGTCGGCCGAGTCTGTAAGGTGAGCAGCATGCCCTTTTGCAAACTATATCATTTTTTCTCCTCAGTAAACACAAATTGCCCCAGGGAGGAAATAATTTCCCCCAAAGTACAGTCTAGGCAACATGTAATAATATGGGTTACTAATGAAGTCTAGAATTCTGTCAGCTTGCCCTGCCTTTTTGGTTTGATAAGTCAGCTGGTATTTTTGAATTCCAATATTTTCACAGTTGATAATGAAGTTAAATAGTAGCCAGTTTAATTACCAGCCGCTGAGTAGCAAGACTCTCATTCTACATTCACAAATCACCACTAACCCAAACAAACTAATTTGGTCTTATTTTTCTAGTTCCCTGGCATGGTTGCATTTCACAGAAAATAGTCTGCATTCATTGATCCATTCAACGCCTTCTGTTTCCATGTTTAATTTCCCAGAATTAGGTAATTGCCTTACCTAAAACAACCTATTAAAACCCACAATTTTTGACCACAGCCATAATTTTAGTTATGGCTTAAAAATCCAAGTATGGCTTTTCGTTTCTGTCTCTCAAGCAATGAACATCCCATGCATATGAAAAAACACTGCCAAAATTGAAGGGAGTTGCCAAAGCAAAATATAGTACAATGTATGGCACTGTTAAAACATCCAAACAGATACTTTAATTTATGTTTTCTGCTGGAAGTGAATAATATTTATCAGAGTATAATATTTTTCTGAGAATGACAGTATGTATGGGATATTTTGGAAAGCAAAGAATATACAGCTTCATAAAATATGTTCCAGTTGACCATAACCATGGTTTATCTGGGTCATATGGCAAACTTTTGATAGTCTGTCTGTCAAGACCCAGAAGCCTCAAGAATGCCAAACACAGTATAAAAGGTCCAAACAAAGTTTATTAAACACAAAAAAGGTTTAGAGACACTTAACTCAGTGCCTCTAGCACAAACTAAGAGTCTATAGCAACCGCTAAGCAAAAAACCCAATTTAAATATAATCTGGATAACAAAAAGTTACAGCAATCTGCTTGAAATTTAAAAAGTCCAAAAAGCACAAGAAAACAAGGTGCAAGCATGCAAAATCGAAGTCCAAAAACAGTCCAAAGTCCAGGCACATCCAAAATGAGATGAAGCAGTCCAAAAAGCGAAGTCGTCATCAAAAAACAGTCCAGAGTCAAAGGGTAGGTTGAAGTCAGCACTTATGGAGTTCCAGCCAGAAGTCACAGAAACACGGAGATCTGTAGTCCAAGGAACCAAACTTGAGAGTAATGACAGTAACAAAGACCCATTGAAACCAAACCAACTTATATCCTATAACTCCTCATCAGAGGATGAACTGCTCCCCACCCTTTCATCATCACTTTCAGCTGCCCCATTCCCTGCAGCTGAGCAATGCCTCCCATCTCTCCACCTTTGCCACCGTCTTTCAAGACTTAGTTCTTCCCAAGTGTTCCCAGATTGCCAGTCCTCTGCAAACCCCTCAAAGTCATCACTGGATGTAGGCTGAGAACAGATGTCCCTAATCTCCTGGACCCCTGCACACGGGTCCAGTCTAAAGCATCCTCCTCCCCATCATCACTCCCAGTCCCATCACTCCTTTCAAAACCCACAAAATCTTCATCTTCTGTTGGAGCGCTAAGTATATCATGGATACGCTTCCTTTGGATTTCCTCATCTGATTCTTGTTCTCGAGTAGCCCACTTAACTCCCCTGCTTTCCTCTCCTTCCTGGGATTTCCCAGGTTATTCTGGATTAATTAACACCTGGAAAGATCTGGGCCTTAATTTAAGGTCCAGATCTTTCCAGGTGTGGGCCCTGTTGAGATTGACTCCCTGGACCACTTTTGCAATCCCAGGAATCAATTCCCACAACAATCATGGTTCTTCAGGCACCTGGAGCTCAAAGGCATGGGATGGTGCCCCCGCCCTTCCCCCTCACTCCCCATTTAGCTCAGGCCCCTCTGTCGAAAGCTCCTGCTATGTCAAAATGATGCATGAAGAGGTTGGGAGGGGGAGAGTTGTGGAAGGACCCTCCGAATCATTAATTCCCTTTCATGACATCTCAAACCGGGTGCCTAAGTGTGCCTAATGGCCGAGCAGACCCTATTGAGATGGCTCCTCCTCCTCCATCATTATTCCAAACAATATTATATCTCCTTGTTCCTTTCAAAGAATGTTACACATATATATTTGTTCACTACCATTGATGGAAAGGTTATGCATTATTCATTCCCAGGCTGAAAAACAAGTTGTCTGATAGCTGTTTTCCAAGAAGAATAGATGAGCAAAAATGTTGAGCATTTTCTCCTGATATTCAAACATCCTAAAATGTAATGGAGGAATTATTCTATGAAGAAAACATGGATTTTGTTACAATTTTTTTTCTGCAGAATATTTCCTCTACATTACATTGGGATATTTAGGTAGATAATGTTTTTCATTTTCTGATACAGTGAAAAGAATAATTCCATAGATTTTGCCCTTTTATGCAAAGACAAAACAATTGAGAACTTAGTCCCTCTCCACCATACATAGGTCCAGAGTAATGTCTGCATTAAATTTCTTTAACCCAACAGACTGGATAATCATTTTCAGTTGTGTAGGTGGGTGGGAAGCTGTTTGTTAGTCTGAGAAGGAGCAGAACGTAAGGCTTGAAAGTTCAGGGGAAATAGCTAAATGATTTAACCAATTTGCTAGCAGGACTCAAGGGATCCTGCTTCTTTAGGTCAAGTTTCTGTCAGTATATTTCTCTCATACACAATGATCTAAAGCTTCTAATGCTTACTTGCATTTCTTTACATCAACATTTACTTTTAAAAGACTATTTTGTATTTACTATTTTGATGAATATTTCTTTCTTTCATTCCCCCCCAACCTAATATGTGGGTTTATGTCATTTTTCATTCTGCATATTATCGAGGGTATCAAATTATAAATTGAGAGGAAGTTATTTCAGCATTCACAATCAGTCTGAAATGCATAATTTGTCATGACAAATGGCATTTCTGATATTTTGCCTTTTCAAGGAAAAAAACAATATTATCAGCAGCTTATCTGCAGTAGCTGGCATTTCTTATTCAGCTTGGGGAAAATGGGAATGTTCCCACTAATATCAAATGTAATACAGTTAATGCCTTTGTTTTTGTTTTGAGCTTTTGCACTTTTATAGGATTAGGTGTACGAAATGCAAGTTGGAAATGTTTCTGTACAAAAGATCTCAAGTTTGAAAGCAAATGAATACACCGTGCTGTAAACTATGAATGGTTTACACTCATTTAAAGAAGAATGTCTAAATCAGTCTAATCATAGTCCACTTAAACTTCACATTTTTTTCCAATAAGCACATTTTGTTTTGTTTCTGTATTGTGACTTTTTTTTAAAAAAATCACCCTACAACTTATAGTTTTTGTGTTATGGGGAGCCACTTTGATCTGAGAAAGGTATGGGCAAACTCCGCATGACCTTTACTGGCATATGTAATGATTCCTACCTCATAGGCCGAAGGAGAAGTCTGGAATATCAGTAGGCAGGACTCCATTTTGGGAGTGTCAGCAAAGGAAGCAGACATCTTGGGAGTGTAAAAGGAGAAGAGGGGAGGAGCCGATGCTCTCTTGTGATTGGTTAGGACAGATGGGAGGAGTTTAGCCTCGAGAGGGAAAAGTGTGACCTTCACAGAAAGAAGAGAGATTGATTTTTGGATTTGAAGAAGAAGGATTGGTTTTGGGAACAGAAGAGAGGAGAGGTATTTTTGGGAGCTTAGATTTTTCTGTCAGAGAGCATTTGTGACAGGCAAGGCTGCATTATTTGGCCAGGAGGGTCAAAGTAGTCGCCTGGGAGCTTCTGAGGGTTTTTACACAAGTGTTTTGCTCTCTGGGTTAGAGTAGATTAGCTTACAGAGGACTCTGCTTAGAGTGTAGCTAATTGCTCTAGGGACAACCTGTTTAGGTTAGTCTGGGGAACTCACTGCTACTGTGTTAGTGTAGAATGAGGAGTTTTACTCATATCTAAGTCAAGTAACCTGTTTGAAGTAACTATCAAGATTATTGTGCCTCAGTAACCATTCAAGCTTGTGTGCCTCATTAAAGAAGATAGTTGTTTGTTCAATATTTTACATAAACATTTTCTCTAGTTCAACTTTTAAAGAAGCCTCAGTAGTGATTCATTCCTGTTACAATATTTCTATCTGTTTTAAACATCTTTACATCACAGTCATCTTAAGGAGCTAAGGGAGAGCTGGTGGTCAGGAAGAAGTTTATCTCAGGGAAATAATCTCTAATATCCTAAAGTAAATTAGGTGGTGGCAGCGAATCTACTAAAATACATACACGTTACCTCATATACATATAAACGCTCCGTGCCAGAATTATATTCCATCAGATTGGTGATAGTGGCGTGATATATTCTGAGTTATAATACCCAGGACCCTTTATAGTGGTGTCCAGCAGTGGGTTTAGTAACAATGATCCTTTAGAGCAGGGGTCCTCAAACTAAGGCCCGGGGGCCGGATGCGGCCCTCCAAAGTCATTTACCCGGCCCTCGCTCAGGGTCAACCTAAGTCTAAAACGACTTGAAAGCACATAACAACAACAACAATCCTATCTCATCAGCCAAAAGCAGGCCCACATTTCCCATTGAAATACTAATAAGTTTATATTTGTTAAATTGTTCCTCATTTTAATTATTGTATTGTTTTTAAGTGTTTATTACACCACAAATAAGATATGTGCAGCATGCACAGGAATTAATGTTTTATTTTTCAAATTATAATCTGGCCCTCCAACAGTTTGAGGGACTGTGACCTGGCCCTCTGCTTAAAAAGTTTGTGGACCCCTGCTTTAGAGCATACAACAGTAAAAAGAAAGCAAGGCATATGCAATAAGAGGAAGTCACAGATAAAAAGTTAAACAGATTTACAAGTTACTAAACTCAAGAATAAAATTTTCAACAGGCTCACAAAAAATGTATGGGCAAACTATGTCCTGTGACCCACATCTGATCCAAGGTATTTTTATATGCCCTCAGG